TCAAGGAAGCCGTGTGCTTTGATATTTTGAGAAGAAGAAGACGTGGATGGAGCTTACTGGGGAAAACAAATCAACCCTGAGTTTTAATCCTCCGGCTCCAAAGTGTTCTGCACATGTTTATCGCAACACAAAGCCTTTTTCATCTGAACAAACATTTTAATATTAGACTTTAGAAGCTTATGCCCACCGAAATAATGTTCATATTTTAAACTTTGCCTTGCCAGTGTCATACAAGTCGATACATCCTGTATCTAACGGCCCCTATCCAAATAGCGACAGGAGACAGCATGAGCAGTAACTGCACAATGTCATTATGTTCATAGTGTTTCCTCCTGTAGTTTGATGTGACGACGCCAGACACAATGACCCAATTTGCCTGAGTGGCTATAGGGGGGTACCAATGGTAGGTTGCATCATAAATACTGTACAAAGACCCTCTTAAAAAGGAAATGATACAATTCCTTGTATGCAATGAAAGGCAGCCATATAAAACGTCCCATTTTTCAGTGTTTACAAACCTCGTATTCTTCTTTTGCCCGTATTCTAAAGAAACAAAGCAGAGCCTAAAGACGAGGCTGGAGGTGGTGGGGGCAATGATGAGTTCCCAGACTAGCCTCTTTCGCATGCAAATCATATCTGAATTTCTCATTAGCATAAATGCATGAGCAACTTTAAATGCTTTTAATTTTCAATCTCGCCAAGCAGAGGAGTAATTTGTCACTGTCAGGATGGGAGACTAAAAGGGGGGGGGGGGGGCAGAGGGAGCCAAGGACTCCACGCTAAACTGAAATCACGGAAAATTTCTGATTTACTAATTGACTGATGTGCAGTTCAGTCGAGTTGCCTTGAAGGTGTAAATAATTCTGTGTATATTCAAATGGCAAAAATGAGAGAGTGCAGGGTGGATACGCAAAAGCACATTACATGATGCTTCTCCCCGGGCCATGCTTCTCTTTCTGGTGATTCTATTTTCCAGCGTGTAACGCTTTCAGTCTGTCTCTTTAAAGGGTAAGTATGCTGTTTCAGAGCATAATCACAGATAATCAACTGGAAATTAAAACAAAATGTCTTTTTTTTCTTCTTTTTTTTTTTTTTTACATCTCTTTGCCATTACACAGAAAGCTATTTAACAGCCCAGCACAAAAACATTCCCAACAGCTTATCGTGTTTGCTGTTTTAAGTCATTTTCAAATTTTATCTTCATTCTTTCAAGACGTAAGATCAATTGACACTGCACTTTGAAGTCTAAACCGCTAATGCCTCATTTTTTTTGAACAAAGCAGTTCAGATTCAGACAGACCGTGTTAGCTAAATTTAGCTGTAGGTGAAAACAAGGGGAAAAAAAGATTTCACAAGCTCCTCCATTTAAATGACTAAAACCAATTATGCAAACATAATTAGTATTCAGTAAGAGAACTAAAGACGACTGCAGCACGGGGTGAGCTGCTTACCTCCAAAGAAGGCCCCGTCAGACAAGATCCTGGTGGATGTATCCGTCTGTACAACAACTGTGCCACGGCTGATGAAATGCATGCCCTTGCTCCGCTGGCCATGGTGGATAATCACATCATTCAGCACCTCCAGTGGGTACTCAGGGGATGAGTCACGTTTCATGTTTCAAGTAGGGGGACCCGTTCATTGTGGTTCCAACTTCACACCTCCTGTGTACATTTGAAAGCATGACAAATAGAAGACAATGTAAAATAAGAAGAAGATGTGAAACACTTCAATGGTAAGTCGTAGTCATAATGAGCAATGAAATAGTCTTTGGCCTAAATTAGGGGTTCCCAGGTGTACCGTTTATGAAACAGGTAAGTTATATTGCCCATATATTATTTACAGGACGAGAAAGAATTCCACCAAACGTCACAGTGAGTGAATTGCAAATATGGTCCGACCACATCCAACATGTATGATAACACCCTCGTTACCTTTTACTCTGTGTGTTGCAGGAATATTTGTTTTAGCCAAACTGAAATGAGAGCATTCAGCTCCTCACCTAACCAGGTCATTGTGGAAACTGATGACACTGCAAAAAAAAAAGGGAAAAAAAAGCAGACAAAATTGCCAAAGACAGTTTTAGACCAACTTCTCACCTCAGGTCGACAATAGCTAACCTAGGCTAACGGCACTATTTTGAAAGCAGTAACGTTAGCCAAATAAAAGCATATTTCCCTCTCTTTACTTAGCTCTGACATTTATAAGCAGCATTTTGTTCCCTTGAAACGATGAATTGTGGTGACTAACGTTAGCCACTGGGTTTGTCTTTGCTGCTACTTAGCTAGGTATCATCTTCCAAGTACATTCACACACGTTTATGTTTTTAAAGAATTTTCACATGTATGCTTGTTGATCACCAAGCTGACCTTTTACCATGCTAAGATAATCTCAAATCAATTCTTCATTGGAGAGTGGAGTTGGCTCAGAAGTTAGGTATTCTGTTACATTAGCTTCTGTACTAGCTACCTCGCTAGTATAAACTAAGCTAATGCTAATTGCTTTCCAATTAGGCAGGGCAGGTGTGAAATTCGCCAAGTCACAAAAAAATGTGTGTACCGGGCATTGGTATGATTCTGATGTTTTCTTTCTTATTTTTAACAGTCTGAGAATATACGCTATGTAGGTTGGAAACTGCCGAATACTTCATTAGTTAGTTCGTTAGTTAACGCTAGTTAAGTAGCATTAGATAGGGCAGACGGTGAACTTAAGAATCAGATGCACGGGTTCAACCCAAACGTCAGGGGGTTGTCAGTCATCCTAACATCATGGCAACACGCTGAGAGTCGGGTCTGCTGGTTTTATATTGAGTACCAAAGCTTTCTTCTTAACTTCTTGACCTGCTGTATTCCAAGTTATGTAAATAAGTATTAAAACTCTAGGCTACTACATTAAAATCATGAATCCATAGCTGGCTGGTGTATGGCAGTATACAGCACAACCCAATACAAATTCAAGTATACGGAGCATGCCGGGATGGAAAATGGTGCAGCTGCGTCCATGTCCATTCTTTACATCAGGCTCATACTGCCCTCCAGTGTTGAAGCGGTGAACACAGTGGGAAATAGAGGAAGGGGACTCAATAGAAGCAGCAACCAACTCAATATGACACCTCTGGAATAAAGTGTCCCTCTGTGAAGCAAATATTAAATCTATGGTCATTTTTAGGCTGTAGTTTGTGGTGACGTGTCATTAAATTGAGTCACTAAATTAATTCATTTATTTGCGCACCATCTTACTCTGGTAGGTAAACCACAAAACAACGACACACTGAAAAGTCTGCTTAATAAGTTCCAATACAAACTGTACACAGTGTGGTCTGTGGATTACCCTAACTACAACCAGTACAAGAAAGACATATTTGCAAGACGTAGAGTCATAGTCATATTATTTTTCTTTTTTAATATTGTTTTTGATTGTACTGTAGAGTTTTGAAACACATTTTTAACATGCATTTGGCCCTCTAGCAGTAGAGCAGTCTCACTATACTGGCATGTACTACATACAGTAGTAGGCATTACACATGTAATGTTCATAAAAAAACTAATTCCACCTTTTAATATGTCCTCATTGTTCATTAAAATGTCAGCCACAAGCCTCTGCACCGCTGCCTCCAAGACAAATGTCTATTATATGTACATTCACTGCATTAAACAAATAGTCTCTGTTACATGAAAACAATATAGCCACTTTACATTAAGTGATTGCATAGACCGCACTGATGTCTGTACTGTAACGTTGTTCAGATCTGGAACGTTGTGTACTTTGAAGTCTTGAGTGAGGCTTTATGAGCATTATTGGCCCTACGTTTGGGATGTGGGCTGGTGGATGAAAGGCAGAATTTGCAGTGGAGTTGCACCATGTTCTATCATGTCACAAATTGGGTTTTTTTCACACAAAAGTCAAACAAGAAGTAAACTCACCATGAAGGCATGTTGATTCTGTCTTGTGGCCCCATCTCTCTCAGTCAGGTCACACAATGATGATGTCTTTAGAGAACACTGACCCAGAGAGAATCATGGGAAATGAAGGAATATTTGATGTGCCTGTAATTTCCACTTCGGCCCACAGCGGCTGCTGTTTACCAAAGATTACAATGTCTCGCTTTTAAAAAACAACTGTTCTCTCATTTAATCCTTTCATGAATGCAGGGATAGAAAAAGAAATGTTTGATTTTAACAACAAAACCTTATATAGTTTTGGGATAACAACACATAACTCTGTTCAACACAGCCGTCCACAAAACTGTCTTTGTGAATAGAGGCGTAATATACAGTCAATGCAGCAGCTATCATACAGCCAACTGTACTGTAGTCTATTGTGAGGCTATATTGCATTACTTCTATCATATTGTGTTTCACTATTACTTCTCAGCCCTTTAACAATTGTTCACTGGCTATCCACTCTCTAGTGACATGAGTATTGCATTCATACTTTTTTTCTCCGCATTTGGAGCAGTTAAACTCTTAAATGACAGGATGGACAGGATCAACAAAGACACATGCATTTGTTTTATTCTAACTGTTTCATGTAGTTAGATAACATTTTGAAAATTGTTTAATGAGTCAGGAGAAGCATCTCACTATGAAATAATATATCATAATCACAGAGAACGTTTGAGAAAGTCAACGGAGTCATACTATCTCATAATTTGAATTATTAGACGCAATATCTCATATATGTGATATATGAAAACATAGTTATAGGATAAGAAGTTTTATCATAATGATGTTCACATTCGCTTGAACTCGTAAAGCTCATGGAATTTCCCTTGACGTGATACTATGAATATTAAGACAATCACATGTATTAGAAAGGGAAACACAGCCAACCGAGTTTTTAAATGTGTTGTTGGGCACGAGCTCATGTTTGAACCGGTGTTACTGGGTGCCGTTACAGTCAGGATCCACTAGATGGCAGCTCTGTTTCAGGTTAAAAAATAATGCAGCACTTCTCCCCCCCCCCCACCCCCGTTAAAGACATAGTGAGAAAAACAGATCATATTCAGACACAAAATATTTTATTTGAAGCACTTATTTCTGACTGATATACATTATCCAACAGCTAGTGTGTTAGCCCACTCCATATGCCTTGAACAGGAAGCCGAACATTGCATCACTTTACTGTCCATCACAGCAGCAGCAAATCCATACAGACAAAATAATTCACAAAAATACAGATGCCGGCCAGCGAAATATCAAAACCACATCCATTTTGTCCTGCCTGGAGACATTCCTAAAAAAAAGTTATCAAAAGCAATTTATTCCAAGAGTGTAACTACCTTTAGCTTCCATTGAAATGTGTTGTTGCAGCAGCAAAGAGATACTGTGAAATGTCTAAAAGAAGGAAATTTAGACAAGAAAAAAAATGGTATTATGTGCACTGATGCAAAAAGAACATTTGTTAGTGTCATGACAGCAGGGTTGTCTTGTTTGTGGACGCAGTGAGGGCCACGACCCTGACCATGTTCCAGCACTGTAGTGGTGGAGTTCACCTTTGACCTAAACAGGGAGGAAAAGGAAACCTGCTAGCACTTGAACATGTGTCCTTTTGCTGTCTCCTTAAACACTAACAGGGAGAGAAATACAAGAGCATATTTGCATCTTTATGTGTTCTAAATGGCTTACTTTCCTTCAACTTCCCAGACAGTGACTGTTAGCAGCTAACGTGATGCCCTTCCTCTCAGAAAACCACCGATTACTTTCGGTTTATAACTCAACTCTGGTGCTGTCAGTGGAGCGCTTTTTATAAGGAACTTAATCCACAAAAGATGCAAAAGACTTTGTCAGTTTTGATAGTTCTTTATCTTTGGCAAGTGTGCTAAATGTAGGACCTGTGACACATGTGAGTAGAGTATGCTCTATCAGCAAAATAGCATATTCTGAATGCAAATGTGAATATATGTACTCATAAAACTTAAAGTTCAGTTTCCAATTTTGTTTTTTGTAAGCCTGAAGCCTCTTGAAGACTGTTTCTGCAACTACTTTTGATTCGTTACCTCAAGGAAAAATGGCAAACATTTGCTGTTTTCAGTTTCTCAAATGTGAGGATCTGAAGCTCTCTTTTATAATATATAATAATAAAACCAAAATATCTTTGGGTTTTGAACTGTTGGTTGTATAAAACATTCAAATGCATCTCCTTGGGGTGTATCATTTCATTATTATCTGACATTTTCTTGACCAAACAATAAGTCACAAAGAAATGCTGAAAATAATCATTAGTTACAGCCTTAGATCGAGGAATTTTTGTATTCCTTCCAAGTCAGATTCCCATTATAGTAAATATTAAATAGCATTACAGCAGACACACCGGTCTATTCTGTCTCCTTTGCATAGAACCTGTGTTGCATCGTTCATAAGGCGCACTACGACTGCTTCCGTTCTTTTTTTCTTTATACAACTTTCAACAAAACACTTGTCACCAGTCAACGAGTTAATATGTTCTAAATAATATCTATTCTATTCAAAAAAGTGCACAAAATAACCTAGTCACTGTCAGCATGTCATTATCTACAGTCAGATACAATTATTATTCATTCAACTCAAAAAACAAAAACAAAATCCTTATTAAGGCTTAACCCTGCAGACACATTAAATTGCCATGCAAATACACACATTCCATTGCAAGCAAGCAATGAGACACTGAGATAGAAAGCTGACATTGAAGAATGTATATAAGGTCTTCTGCTTATTCCAGTTTTGCTATTACGCATTTATTTTGTTGGTCTGGAACACACACGCACACGCACACACACACACACGCGCGCAGACACGCACACACACACTATGTCACTTTCTCAGGCTTGTCAGGCAAAGTGAGAACAAAAGGAAACAGAACACCTTTTGCCTCCAGAGGCGCCCTCAGGGCCTCCTCAACAAAGTAGGCGTTCTCCTCCTCCACCACAAACTGAAGAGTCTGGCTTTTGTTCACACAGTAGATGCAGTTCCCGATCACGGCACACCTGAAGGGCAAATGACTTCCGAGCCTCTGCGCTGCGCAGTCATGCCACATCTTCACGATGCTGTTGTACTTGAACACGGTGATCCCCTGCTCGCGGTTGACGTCAAAGCGGTAGATGAAGCTCTTGAACGGCACCATGTCGGTGGACTTCTTCCTGCTGTTGTTGAAGGGGCACTCCTGCCACTCGTCCCGCTTGGTGTCGTACTTCAGAAGGCGGTAGAAGAGGGAGCCCCCTGACACGTACAGTTCTCCGCTGCAGGTGGTGGCCTCGTGGGCCACCGCGAAGGCTCCCTTGGGCAAAGGGGCCACGGCGGTCCAGCGGTCCATGCGAGGGTCGTATTTTTCTACTGTAAACAAACATTCCCCTCCAATGGCGTACAAGTAGCCATCCATGGACACGAGCTTGAGCTGGGCACGAGCTTGGGTCAGAGGTCGGACCTCGGCCCAGCGGTTGGTTATGGGGTTGTAACAGAAGACCTTGTCTGAAACCTTGCCCTTGTCCCCGTAGCCCTTTATCCCCCCTGCCACAAACAGGTAGTTATACATTGTGCAGATCCCGCATCCTTTAGTGTTTATGTCCTCGGGCATCGCAGTTAAAGGTCTCCAGTCATTTGCGGTTTCGTTGAAGCAGTAAATCATATGACTCTCCTCCAAAGACCCAACCGACAAAGGGCTCTGCGGTCGGCTGCCGCAGCGGCTCGGCGGCCGGCTCCCAACGCGATCGAACACATCGTTTATCTCCGCCACCATCAGAGTCTTCCTCCCCTCCATTCTCTTCTTCAGGATCAGATCCCGCTCGGACCCGTTCAGGCGCCCGTACGCAGCGGGGTCTTTGAGGACCTGGAGGAAGTTGTCGCTCATGAAGCCATAGGCGGTCTCCTTCAGTTCGCTAAGTCGCTGCTTTTTGGCGATGGTCAGGATCTCGTAGCAGTTCTCCGCGGTGATTTGCTCGGACATGGAGTCCATGGCTGCCTGGACGGCGCAGGGGATCTGGAGGATTTTGGCCCCCGTGATGACTTCCACGACATTGCCCTTGCAAACATTCATCTGAGAAGTGTAAATATAGTCGATTAATGTAGACATAGTCTTGTAACTCACTCCCTTCACTTTCAAGATGTCGCGTGACAGCCGTGCTTTGAAGTAGTCACTCTTCTCCGCCAGGACGGCCTTGTGAGCGTTGATCTTCTGCCCGCCGACTTCGATGACTAAATCAGGCTCTTTTGGGGACTTTCCAGCTCCCTGGCTGCCGTCCCTGCGCTCGAGGTTCAATTTTAGGACTGACCAATCTCTTTCCTGTTCGGCTTGGCCAGGCAGGCCAACTGGGGAATTTGCATTGAGAGACACTTTCGCTCTGGCGCCATTGTGGATTTCACAGTTTTGTTGCGGACCTCCATTATCATTGGAGCGGTGATACTGAGCCGCCCTCGAGATGTACGGGACGTCGCCTTTCTGGTGGCCGATGTGGTTATTCTCCATCAGCATACCGTCCAGCAGGTATTCCTTCTCAAACACTGGAGGGGGGCTAAAATCCTGGTTGTCCTGCGGGAATCCTTGGACGTAACCTGGACACAAATCCCCATCGTTGTCAGAAGGCGTGACAAGGTCAGGGTTCACGGCGTGGAGGATGACGTCGGCCTCCACGGTAACGGCCCCTCCATCATGCCTGCGACACTCGTTCATCTCGACGTGCTCACTTGTGACGGGAGGCGGCGCCTTCACCGATCATGCTGAGTGGATGGACAAGCTTGTGATTGTGCTCCTCTCTGTTCACCTACAAGGGGGGGGGGGGGGGGGG